TGAGATTAATTGCAACCAATTTTCTAAAATTTTTTCAGATTTGCTAAATAACAGACTTGGTACAATGGAAAATAATTGAACATTATTGGAAAATAACACCTCAATTCGGCACAAACCGCTTTGTTCAATTTAATTAGGACAAAGATAAAATTACTGTATTGGTCTGAGAAGGGAATAGTAGGCCTATTTGTCCTGTAGTTTTACGAATACTAACAGACCACCTTTAAGACTATCTGTTCCTTGCTTTTTAACTACATAAACCATAGCAGAAAATAATACCTGCAAATGTTTACATTTATCTGTTAATTTCGTGTTCCATGTTTCCGATAATATGCTAAATTCATTCAACATCATTCAAAAGGAATAAATATTTTAACACTTTGAATAATGTAACCAAGTATTTCTATTTGTATTTCTATTTTAAAAATAATTTTGTTTTAAATTATTTAACAAAAAAATATAAATATGTTTAAACGCAATTTAAATAATTTTTTACATTATTTAAAAATTTCGGGGAGAGAAGAGCTTCTAAAGAAAAGTCGATTCTTCTAGTTTTAACTGTATTAACGGCTGTGAATAAATGAATAAAAGACTACACGGAAAAATCTTCGTTTTTATATTGTTTAATCTTTAAAGTTTGTAATGTACAACACTTCTAATTTCAATTGCTCTTTAGAAAACTTAGCAGAACCTATCTTTAGAGTACAGTACCATACATCAAAATTAATTATAAAAAGACTTAGTATTTACTTAACAAGGAAACGTTAAACTATAATTTCTTTTATTCTAGTAAATTAAATAATTATTTTTGAATAAAATCTGCTTACCATTTCCTTTTGCTTCGACATTAATAAGTAAGTTTAGTTCGATGTTCACGTGACTGTAGAAGTCAAACTTATTTGCATATTCTGTTAGTTAATCAACAGATTTGCTGTTTTTTAGTAAATATAAATTATTTAGATTTTTCGACGAAGTGATTTAATATCTAACCGCAATACTGTAGATTCATTTTTTTTAGTAATTTGAATTTGAATAATTTCTTCCTCTGTTATGCCATTAAATTTTAAAGTTTCTTTCACAAATTGGATCAAACAATTTCGCTATTTTAAAATCCGTTAAAGAAAAATTATAAATTATCTATTTATTTTCGTTCGTAATATTTAGTATAATGTTTATATTATAATGGAGAAGCTCCCATTTTCTTTTTAAATTCGGAATTTCCTTATCCACATTTACCACTTTTTCTGATAATCTAGATTGATTGTTAAAATCTCTAAATTTCTGGTATAAAATATCCATTTTATTCTCTGAATTTGATCAGTAATAAAACATGTGAGACCTACATTAATTTCATTACTTTTTTGTAATATTTAAGGTATTTTCAAAATACTGTCAAATACGTTCTTCAAAGTTTCTTCATCAGATACGTTTCATTTGTCATTTAAAGCTGATTTGAATTATGTTTGAAACAATGTAACCAAATTTCTGAACTTCGTACAACTTATTCACATTATACGTCTCGTTAACAGTATCCTCTTTTAGGTATAAACGAGATGTAAGACCAAGATTCTGCTCAATACCAGCCATTAACAATAAAAAGTTAATATTATTAATAAATAAGGATGAAGCCAAATCAAATTCAAAACTAAAAATCGCTTACACGGCAAAAATAAAAATTGTTAGTAAAGGAATCGCCGCAGTACAAACCGTCTTCTAATCTTATCTGGCAAAAATTCCAGGTATTTTTCATGGATAATCTATCTCGGATACATCAGGCTTATCCCTGACCATCTATAAACCCCATTGTGACCAAGCAAAACTCACGATAAGCACGAAAAAAGCGCCTATTCGTGCCCACGGGACGACAAAAAAATCCAAAATGAAAAAAAAGTATATTAATTAAAAAATTAATTTTTAATTATATAATTTTTTTCTTCTTAAATAGAATTAGGTGCATTTTCTTTTAATAAATTAGTATTATTTATATTTTATTTTAATTAATAACATATTAATGAGGCAGCATTATAACTATAAAAATAATAATGAAAAAGAACGACAACTTAAATAAATATTTTAAAAGTGTTTTTAAACTCAAAACAAATAAATTGTATTTTAATACGTTTTTTTTAATTAAAATTGATTTTTTAAATTTGTCTTAATTAATTTAAGTATTATCGAAATGTTAATAATAATACAGTTTATTTTATTCTTTAATTTTTTAAAATAAGTTTAGAAGAAATATAATTACAACTGTAGATTCAAATTTTTATTCTTTATTAATTAAATGGGCTTCTGGATATTGGTCTATATTTAAATATAGATCAGTATATTTTAATATTTAATATTTCTATATTTTAATAGTTTTGATTATATATTTCATAGAAATAAATATTTTTTCAAGTTTTATATCAATATTTCAAGATAAGAAATTCTTTTTTCCTCTTCTTTCGAAGTGAAATTTCTTTTATCTTCGCTTCTTCTTGTTGATTTGTTTGTTTGTTTTCTTCGTTTGTTTACTAAGTTTGTTTTGTTACTTCTAAATTAAACTTATACTTGTATAGTTTTTTTGAAAAAGTATTTCAAACGTATTAGAGTATTTAAAAAATATATAATTATCAACTTAATCTCTTTACAATCGTATACATTATAAAAACATATTAAATTTATATTGATCGTAAGTCTTTTTGCAAATTTTAAAAACTTAAAATTGTAATTTGATATTATAAACTTCAAATTACAATTAAGATTTTATAAAATAAATTTAAATTAAAAGCAATATTAAATAACTAATTTATTTGTACTATAATATAAAAAAGTAAACACTTTTAAAAGCAATTTACTTATCCGATGAAATTAAAATGGTGATGCTCAACTTGTTTAATTTATAATGTAATGCATAATGTATAATATGTATTTTATATACTATGCTTCATGTAACGTACAGTACACTGATTAATTTAAATAGGCTATAGAAAATGTATACATTTTACATACACAGCATATAAATATATTTTTTTTAAATAAGAACGACAATACCTCATGGCATATAATACTTCCCCCCGCAAGAAAGATATTATTCCAATTATTTTTTAACTTAAATATTAAAATTAACAAAAAAATATTCTACAAAATAAAGCTAAATACTCTAAGGAATCGAAGAAACTATTTTTTTAAAAAATGCTTTGATATGATTTTATTAAAATGATTTCATGGCTAGATTTTGATTTTAGAATACACTTGTATCAATTTAAAAAAATATGATTATTTGAATTTCAGATTTAAAAAAAGTTTTTTTTTTTTACTAAAAGTATTTAGTCCTGCACGATAATAGAAATTGGAAAGGTGTTTCCGCCTGGATTTCCGTTTGTCAGCTCTGTATCTGACAGCTTCTCCTACTTAGTTTTTCTTTTAGAGTCTATCCAATTTCATTCAAGTCAATTCTTTATGGTTTAATGCACACCACTGTGTTTTTCGACAAAGGAATATAAGTGTAACCTAGTATAAAATTATTGGGAAATATTGTTTCAAATTGTATAAGAATGAACTTAAATTATAAGAATTTTCAGTATTCTTTCGATAGATTCTCTTTTCGTTCTGACACTTCAGAAATTTAAATTTTCAGAAAATCTATCAAAGTTTAAAATGATAAGTTACTTGATAACTTTTTATACTGCAAATAAATCTTTTTCTCAGAAAGCATATATTTTACATTATTAAAAATTGCATTTTACACATTTAATCTGTATATAAAAGTTCAAATTTTCAAAAATGCATTTTATTTATATGCCTTAAATAAAGCAAGTTATCTTACAGAAGATAGAAATTCCACTTTTATAAAATATGAATAAGTACTCAATATATTTTAAAATTTGAATTTTAAAATCAAAATTCAAATTCATGAGTTGCAACAAGGAAAAGTATTCGATAAAACAGAAGTTGAGCTACATGCCAACTCTTTTTTTTACTATTGATGTATAAAAATTATTTTATTTCATCTAAACAATGCCAGTAACTATCAAAAAGTTCTTTGATTCGTTTTCATGTGTATTTTTAAACAGTGTAATAATTTAACTTGTACACGATAGTCTATCCACGTAGAATATATAGCAATGACATAAACTTATATATCTTTAGTTACGTTCTCATTTCTGTTGAAAGTTCAGATTCCTTGATTGCGTTTTCTGTACAGAGTAGACTATTTCGTAACCGCAAAAGAAATATAGAAACTGATGGGAAAACCCAACTGGTTTTTCATGACATGTCATAAACTTTCTAGTGGTTATAAACCGAGGTTGTTTACAGGCCACTTCGACTACTGGACATCATTCTTTACAGTGGCACAGTGAAGTTTTTTGGATTCTGTAACAGAACCTAAGGTCAAACAGAAATGCCTATTTTTTTCCAAACCAAAATATAGTCATTTAATGTGAAGCGTTCAACAGTAGAATACTTTCTGCAAACTAACAATCGATATAATGTTTCTTCAAAACACAAGTTTCAGTTTCTTTAAAATGATTATTCTTTTTCATAAATAAATACTTTTCTTTCTTATTTCTTACAATACATACATTGTAATTTTTTGTTTTAAAATCTTAATGGGGTAATTCATTAAAATAGTCAGGTTTATTCACCAAAACCACTATGTTTCCTTGTAGTCATTACAACTATTCAAAAGATAATTGTGTCACGCATGGATGAAAGCATATCAGTTTAAGAAATCTTTGGATGTAATGATGTAATTTTAACAAACACATAATAACAATTTTAAAAAATTGCCTTTTCCTGAATAATGAGTTTCTTCAGATAAAGTATAAGAAAATTATTTGCAAAATTGTTTCTTATATCCATTAGTCTGAAAATTATTAAATTTCCTGAACGAAATTGAGAAAATCAACAATACTACAACCATCCATTCAATTTTACTTTATACATTAATTTAATTCACTTAATTTTTTCCATCATCATTACTTTTTTTGTTTTAATAGAGTTTTTATAGACTTGTTTTAGTTTGTAATATTCTGTACTATTAATTTGATTTGGCATCTCTTATGTGTTTTTGTACATAAGAATTATAAGAATTTGATGAGCTTTTCTGTTTCTACTTCTGGAAAAGCAATTCATTATAGATCTTTATATTATAAAAAATAAAATTGTTGTTATCGTATATTATGTTTAATTAAGCGCAATATGAAAATCATTATTAATATAGAATTTTGTTTTTATTAATCATAAATATGTTAAAAATTATTTTAATAAGATATTAAATGTATAATAAAGTATCTTAATATACGTATTATATTTATTTAATACAGAAGTTTAATTATTTATTTATTACGCTAAGCATTGTTATAATAGGCCTACAAAGTTTTAGTCATTTTAGTCAACTGCACATGTTTTATTAAAATAAAAACATTATTTAGTTCATAAATTACATTACTTTACAATTAAATTATAACCACACTACCTGAAAATATTCCGCAGAACACATGACGATGAACACAGGATTATGATATATGCCCTTGTTTTTATTAATAAAAAAACGGATAGTTATTTGGTGGAAAAAATTGAATTTGAATACAATATTAAATACGATACTTCACATTCCTTGCAGTACAAACATAAAACTCTCCAAGGCGTTGACAGACAGCGAGATGGTCAGTCTACGTGCCTAAGAATATAAGAAAAGAAGTGGCACTTGGAAGCACGAAGTCCAAACATCACGTCCTACCAGGAAATGAAAGTTTGTCCCGTGTACTATGGAAAAAAACACGATCAATTCCGCAGGAACATCGCACTGTATGGCACTTCCATATAGCTTCAAAGAATTTACAGATATTAAAAAGTTGCTATAGATTACATAAAAAACCAGTTTATATGTATATAGTATCCATATATATATATAGCCTACACGAAACTTCTGTTTTGTTTTTTTTTAGAATATATGGATTTAGAAAACAACAATGTATAACAATGTTTATATTGTGTAATAAATACAGCGCATATTGTATAATTAAATGCATGATTAAATATATAATATTATATTAAAATATTTTAATATATATTTTTCATTTATTACAAAGAATTTTCTTTGAACTTTAAAAATGATTTCTATTGAAGTTTTATAGAATTTTTTTTTTTGCAACTATTGGTTTGGAAAGCATTAAAATTTTATGAGCCATATTTTTTATAAGTTTTCTTTTAAAATTGATTGTAAATATTTTAATTGAAAATATAAATTGTATATATAGGCTATTTCAAAAACTATAAAAATTTTATTTTTTTATTATATAATTGAACATATTAAAATATATAAAATATTAATAACAAACTATAAAGTTTTTACTTTAATTTTAACTGTAAAAATAGACTTAGACGTACTTAAAGTCAACGTAAGAAATTAAATAATAATTTATTAAACTATATATATATATCAAAATTGCTATTAGGGNTTTTTAAAATTATTAAACTATATATATATATCAAAATTGCTATTAGAGAGTATAATTTATAATAAAGTATCGTACATAATTAAATAATAATTCGAATTTAAGACATATTTTTCTTGTGTGTTTCCGAACTTAAAGTTGAGATGCGTTAATCCGAGGTGGTTCTTTGACACTCTTTTCAAGACGTAATCAGGGCTTATTTGCCGGATAAATAAGCTCCAGCTTAGGGCCTGGCATTACGAGTTTATAGCTTAGGGCCTTACATTTTTCACATATATCATTATTTTGTAGAGAGGAAGAGCCTGTTACAAGTTATAGCTTAAGGCCACGCCACGTCTAAGTCCAGCCATGTACAGTACGGTACTGTACATAATACAAGTTTACAATTATTTTCTATTTATTTTACATTTTTGTTAATTATTTTTCATCTTGAAATCATCTTTAAAATTCTAAAATTTTAAAGATGATTTCAAGTCATTTCTACTGCTTTTTTCACGAATTTTGATTGAAAAAATTGACAACTAGCTCAATATAAATAAAGTGCATCGATTGATAAATAAAAAAATCAGTATTAATAAGCATCACGAAAAGTATTAGCTAAAATATTTTGAATCAAAACAAATCACAAACGCAATTTATCAATAAGTAATTCATTACACGAATACCTTATTTAATTAATTCATCTCCACCTCTCGTTAACCTACGATTTATAAGAGGATGACGAAAAGACGATCTTGCAGTGACGTTTAATTAAAATCAGCCAGCTGAGGATGGCTTTCTTGGTTAGATGTCTACTTTCATCGCCATCTGCGTGGCCCATGTTATTGTAAGCAAGTACAGATTGATGGAAATGCGCTGGTAATTAACCTCGTCAGCTAAAACATCTTTCTACATGGACTCTTCTTTCATATTTTCTGAAAATGTTAAAGGAGTTATAACAACTGTGAATAAATAATGCTCTTTATAAATAAATTAAGTGTAAATTATTATNTATTTTAAAAATAATTTTGTTTTAAATTATTTAACAAAAAAATATAAATATGTTTAAACGCAATTTAAATAATTTTTTACATTATTTAAAAATTTCGGGGAGAGAAGAGCTTCTAAAGAAAAGTCGATTCTTCTAGTTTTAACTGTATTAACGGCTGTGAATAAATGAGTAAAAGACTACACGGAAAAATCTTCGTTTTTATATTGTTTAGTCTTTAAAGTTTGTAATGTACAACACTTCTAATTTTAATTGCTCTTTAGAAAACTTAGCAGAGCCTATCTTTAGAGTACAGTACCATACATCAAAATTAATTATAAAAAGACTTAGTATTTACTTAACAAGGAAACGTTAAACTATAATTTCTTTTATTCTAGTAAATTAAATAATTATTTTTGAATAAAATCTGCTTACCATTTCCTTTTGCTTCGACATTAATAAGTAAGTTTAGTTCGATGTTCACGTGACTGTAGAAGTCAAACTTATTTGCATATTCTGTTAGTTAATCAACAGATTTGCTGCTTTTTAGTAAATATAAATTATTTAGATTTTTCGACGAAGTGATTTAATATCTAACCGCAATACTGTAGATTCATTTTTTTTAGTAATTTGAATTTGAATAATTTCTTCCTCTGTTATGCCATTAAATTTTAAAGTTTCTTTCACAAATTGGATCAAACAATTTCGCTATTTTAAAATCCGTTAAAGAAAAATTATAAATTATCTATTTATTTTCGTTCGTAATATTTAGTATAATGTTTATATTATAATGGAGAAGCTCCCATTTTCTTTTTAAATTCGGAATTTCCTTATCCACATTTACCACTTTTTCTGATAATCTAGATTGATTGTTAAAATCTCTAAATTTCTGGTATAAAATATCCATTTTATTCTCTGAATTTGATCAGTAATAAAACATGTGAGACCTACATTAATTTCATTACTTTTTTGTAATATTTAAGGTATTTTCAAAATACTATCAAATACGTTCTTCAAAGTTTCTTCATCAGATACGTTTCATTTGTCATTTAAAGCTGATTTGAATTATGTTTGAAACAATGTAACCAAATTTCTGAACTTCGTACAACTTATTCACATTATACGTCTCGTTAACAGTATCCTCTTTTAGGTATAAACGAGATGTAAGACCAAGATTCTGCTCAATACCAGCCATTAACAATAAAAAGTTAATATTATTAATAAATAAGGATGAAGCCAAATCAAATTCAAAACTAAAAATCGCTTACACGGCAAAAATTAAAATTGTTAGTAAAGGAATCGATGCAGTACAAACCGTCTTCTAATCTTATCTGGCAAAAATTCCAGGTATTTTTCATGGATAATCTATCTCGGATACATCAGGCTTATCCCTGACCATCTATAAACCCCATTGTGACCAAGCAAAACTCACGATAAGCACGAAAAAAGCGCCTATTCGTGCCCACGGGACGACAAAAAAATCCAAAATGAAAAAAAAGTATATTAATTAAAAAATTAATTTTTAATTATATAATTTTTTTCTTCTTAAATAGAATTAGGTGCATTTTCTTTTAATAAATTAGTATTATTTATATTTTATTTTAATTAATAACATATTAATGAGGCAGCATTATAACTATAAAAATAATAATGAAAAAGAACGACAACTTAAATAAATATTTTAAAAGTGTTTTTAAACTCAAAACAAATAAATTGTATTTTAATACGTTTTTTTTAATTAAAATTGATTTTTTAAATTTGTCTTAATTAATTTAAGTATTATCGAAATGTTAATAATAATACAGTTTATTTTATTCTTTAATTTTTTAAAATAAGTTTAGAAGAAATATAATTACAACTGTAGATTCAAATTTTTATTCTTTATTAATTAAATGGGCTTCTGGATATTGGTCTATATTTAAATATAGATCAGTATATTTTAATATTTAATATTTCTATATTTTAATAGTTTTGATTATATATTTCATAGAAATAAATATTTTTTCAAGTTTTATATCAATATTTCAAGATAAGAAATTCTTTTTTCCTCTTCTTTCGAAGTGAAATTTCTTTTATCTTCGCTTCTTCTTGTTGATTTGTTTGTTTGTTTTCTTCGTTTGTTTACTAAGTTTGTTTTGTTACTTCTAAATTAAACTTATACTTGTATAGTTTTTTTGAAAAAGTATTTCAAACGTATTAGAGTATTTAAAAAATATATAATTATCAACTTAATCTCTTTACAATCGTATACATTATAAAAACATATTAAATTTATATTGATCGTAAGTCTTTTTGCAAATTTTAAAAACTTAAAATTGTAATTTGATATTATAAACTTCAAATTACAATTAAGATTTTATAAAATAAATTTAAATTAAAAGCAATATTAAATAACTAATTTATTTGTACTATAATATAAAAAAGTAAACACTTTTAAAAGCAATTTACTTATCCGATGAAATTAAAATGGTGATGCTCAACTTGTTTAATTTATAATGTAATGCATAATGTATAATATGTATTTTATATACTATGCTTCATGTAACGTACAGTACACTGATTAATTTAAATAGGCTATAGAAAATGTATACATTTTACATACACAGCATATAAATATATTTTTTTTAAATAAGAACGACAATACCTCATGGCATATAATACTTCCCCCCGCAAGAAAGATATTATTCCAATTATTTTTTAACTTAAATATTAAAATTAACAAAAAAATATTCTACAAAATAAAGCTAAATACTCTAAGGAATCGAAGAAACTATTTTTTTAAAAAATGCTTTGATATGATTTTATTAAAATGATTTCATGGCTAGATTTTGATTTTAGAATACACTTGTATCAATTTAAAAAAATATGATTATTTGAATTTCAGATTTAAAAAAAGTTTTTTTTTTTTACTAAAAGTATTTAGTCCTGCACGATAATAGAAATTGGAAAGGTGTTTCCGCCTGGATTTCCGTTTGTCAGCTCTGTATCTGACAGCTTCTCCTACTTAGTTTTTCTTTTAGAGTCTATCCAATTTCATTCAAGTCAATTCTTTATGGTTTAATGCACACCACTGTGTTTTTCGACAAAGGAATATAAGTGTAACCTAGTATAAAATTATTGGGAAATATTGTTTCAAATTGTATAAGAATGAACTTAAATTATAAGAATTTTCAGTATTCTTTCGATAGATTCTCTTTTCGTTCTGACACTTCAGAAATTTAAATTTTCAGAAAATCTATCAAAGTTTAAAATGATAAGTTACTTGATAACTTTTTATACTGCAAATAAATCTTTTTCTCAGAAAGCATATATTTTACATTATTAAAAATTGCATTTTACACATTTAATCTGTATATAAAAGTTCAAATTTTCAAAAATGCATTTTATTTATATGCCTTAAATAAAGCAAGTTATCTTACAGAAGATAGAAATTCCACTTTTATAAAATATGAATAAGTACTCAATATATTTTAAAATTTGAATTTTAAAATCAAAATTCAAATTCATGAGTTGCAACAAGGAAAAGTATTCGATAAAACAGAAGTTGAGCTACATGCCAACTCTTTTTTTTACTATTGATGTATAAAAATTATTTTATTTCATCTAAACAATGCCAGTAACTATCAAAAAGTTCTTTGATTCGTTTTCATGTGTATTTTTAAACAGTGTAATAATTTAACTTGTACACGATAGTCTATCCACGTAGAATATATAGCAATGACATAAACTTATATATCTTTAGTTACGTTCTCATTTCTGTTGAAAGTTCAGATTCCTTGATTGCGTTTTCTGTACAGAGTAGACTATTTCGTAACCGCAAAAGAAATATAGAAACTGATGGGAAAACCCAACTGGTTTTTCATGACATGTCATAAACTTTCTAGTGGTTATAAACCGAGGTTGTTTACAGGCCACTTCGACTACTGGACATCATTCTTTACAGTGGCACAGTGAAGTTTTTTGGATTCTGTAACAGAACCTAAGGTCAAACAGAAATGCCTATTTTTTTCCAAACCAAAATATAGTCATTTAATGTGAAGCGTTCAACAGTAGAATACTTTCTGCAAACTAACAATCGATATAATGTTTCTTCAAAACACAAGTTTCAGTTTCTTTAAAATGATTATTCTTTTTCATAAATAAATACTTTTCTTTCTTATTTCTTACAATACATACATTGTAATTTTTTGTTTTAAAATCTTAATGGGGTAATTCATTAAAATAGTCAGGTTTATTCACCAAAACCACTATGTTTCCTTGTAGTCATTACAACTATTCAAAAGATAATTGTGTCACGCATGGATGAAAGCATATCAGTTTAAGAAATCTTTGGATGTAATGATGTAATTTTAACAAACACATAATAACAATTTTAAAAAATTGCCTTTTCCTGAATAATGAGTTTCTTCAGATAAAGTATAAGAAAATTATTTGCAAAATTGTTTCTTATATCCATTAGTCTGAAAATTATTAAATTTCCTGAACGAAATTGAGAAAATCAACAATACTACAACCATCCATTCAATTTTACTTTATACATTAATTTAATTCACTTAATTTTTTCCATCATCATTACTTTTTTTGTTTTAATAGAGTTTTTATAGACTTGTTTTAGTTTGTAATATTCTGTACTATTAATTTGATTTGGCATCTCTTATGTGTTTTTGTACATAAGAATTATAAGAATTTGATGAGCTTTTCTGTTTCTACTTCTGGAAAAGCAATTCATTATAGATCTTTATATTATAAAAAATAAAATTGTTGTTATCGTATATTATGTTTAATTAAGCGCAATATGAAAATCATTATTAATATAGAATTTTGTTTTTATTAATCATAAATATGTTAAAAATTATTTTAATAAGATATTAAATGTATAATAAAGTATCTTAATATACGTATTATATTTATTTAATACAGAAGTTTAATTATTTATTTATTACGCTAAGCATTGTTATAATAGGCCTACAAAGTTTTAGTCATTTTAGTCAACTGCACATGTTTTATTAAAATAAAAACATTATTTAGTTCATAAATTACATTACTTTACAATTAAATTATAACCACACTACCTGAAAATATTCCGCAGAACACATGACGATGAACACAGGATTATGATATATGCCCTTGTTTTTATTAATAAAAAAACGGATAGTTATTTGGTGGAAAAAATTGAATTTGAATACAATATTAAATACGATACTTCACATTCCTTGCAGTACAAACATAAAACTCTCCAAGGCGTTGACAGACAGCGAGATGGTCAGTCTACGTGCCTAAGAATATAAGAAAAGAAGTGGCACTTGGAAGCACGAAGTCCAAACATCACGTCCTACCAGGAAATGAAAGTTTGTCCCGTGTACTATGGAAAAAAACACGATCAATTCCGCAGGAACATCGCACTGTATGGCACTTCCATATAGCTTCAAAGAATTTACAGATATTAAAAAGTTGCTATAGATTACATAAAAAACCAGTTTATATGTATATAGTATCCATATATATATATAGCCTACACGAAACTTCTGTTTTGTTTTTTTTTAGAATATATGGATTTAGAAAACAACAATGTATAACAATGTTTATATTGTGTAATAAATACAGCGCATATTGTATAATTAAATGCATGATTAAATATATAATATTATATTAAAATATTTTAATATATATTTTTCATTTATTACAAAGAATTTTCTTTGAACTTTAAAAATGATTTCTATTGAAGTTTTATAGAATTTTTTTTTTTGCAACTATTGGTTTGGAAAGCATTAAAATTTTATGAGCCATATTTTTTATAAGTTTTCTTTTAAAATTGATTGTAAATATTTTAATTGAAAATATAAATTGTATATATAGGCTATTTCAAAAACTATAAAAATTTTATTTTTTTATTATATAATTGAACATATTAAAATATATAAAATATTAATAACAAACTATAAAGTTTTTACTTTAATTTTAACTGTAAAAATAGACTTAGACGTACTTAAAGTCAACGTAAGAAATTAAATAATAATTTATTAAACTATATATATATATCAAAATTGCTATTAGAGAGTATAATTTATAATAAAGTATCGTACATAATTAAATAATAATTCGAATTTAAGACATATTTTTCTTGTGTGTTTCCGAACTTAAAGTTGAGATGCGTTAATCCGAGGTGGTTCTTTGACACTCTTTTCAAGACGTAATCAGGGCTTATTTGCCAGATAAATAAGCTCCAGCTTAGGGCCTGGCATTACGAGTTTATAGCTTAGGGCCTTACGTTTTTCACATATATCATTATTTTGTAGAGAGGAAGAGCCTGTTACAAGTTATAGCTTAAGGCCACGCCACGTCTAAGTCCAGCCATGTACAGTACGGTACTGTACATAATACAAGTTTACAATTATTTTCTATTTATTTTACATTTTTGTTAATTATTTTTCATCTTGAAATCATCTTTAAAATTCTAAAATTTTAAAGATGATTTCAAGTCATTTCTACTGCTTTTTTCACGAATTTTGATTGAAAAAATTGACAACTAGCTCAATATAAATAAAGTGCATCGATTGATAAATAAAAAAATCAGTATTAATAAGCATCACGAAAAGTATTAGCTAAAATATTTTGAATCAAAACAAATCACAAACGCAATTTATCAATAAGTAATTCATTACACGAATACCTTATTTAATTAATTCATCTCCACCTCTCGTTAACCTACGATTTATAAGAGGATGACGAAAAGACGATCTTGCAGTGACGTTTAATTAAAATCAGCCAGCTGAGGATGGCTTTCTTGGTTAGATGTCTACTTTCATCGCCATCTGCGTAGCCCATGTTATTGTAAGCAAGTACAGATTGATGGAAATGCGCTGGTAATTAACCTCGTCAGCTAAAACATCTTTCTACATGGACTCTTCTTTCATATTTTCTGAAAATGTTAAAGGAGTTATAACAACTGTGAATAAATAATGCTCTTTATAAATAAATTAAGTGTAAATTATTATGTATTTTTACATATTTCTTAAAAATATTTTTCTAATTTCTACACCTACGAACAACTGATGCATTGTCTTAATTATTATTTAAATCTAATTGTTGTAGATTATGTATAAATACTTTAATGCTCAATATATGAATATATTATATTTGGTCATGCTGTTAATATAAAATATACAGAATTAATTTGTGATTTATAAAATAATAAATAAATAAATAAAATTAATTTGAAAAAATAGAATTAATAATAAAGCGTACAGCTATTTTTTATTTAAAAATATACACGTAAGAATTTTAATATTGATTTCTCCTTGGTCGTACTTTCAGAGTGAAAACAAGTAGAATTTATTTATTTCTATTCTACTAATGCATTTAATTACTCTGATAATGCTTACTTTGTCTCCTCCAATGCTCTTTAATTCGAAACTGTAATTTGTTTGAAACGTAAATGATAATTGATTATTTTCCTAAGTATCATTTTTTTCTATGTTTGATGATAATGTAGTTTATATTAATTTATCAATATTAAAAACAGCGGCATATAGAATCTCGTTTGAAGTGGCAGCGGGAATAAGTTTGCGTAAAAACTGACTTTTTTAAATTAATCTAATAAGATATACAACCAAAAAATGCTTTACTTACACTTATTTAATTATTAGAAATTTATTGAATAAATAATCATCAAGTATTTACTACAGATTTTCTTTATATGGTCTACTTATTTTAAATTTTTGATTAAGGAAAGTTCTTTCTCCCTTCTCTCTGAATACGTTTGTGGCTAAAAATACATTTTATTCTATACTAAAATACGATATTATTATCAAAATAATTATAATGTTGTCCTCAGTTTATCCTAGCTTAATTTATATAGAAATATCATATCAAAAGTTGTCCTTCAAATATAGTAAATATGTACATTTTACTTTAAAAATTGTAATATATATTATACTATAAAGTTATAATTATTAAATTGTTATAATTATGAATCAAATTGCAATAACTTATAAATGTTTACATTATTTTAATAAATATATAAATATATAATCCAGTTTATTATAAATAAGTAAACCTATAGGCTAATTACTAATTTATATCAAAAATAAATTAATAAATTGAATTATATATTAATAATAGAGAAGAGTCATTTTCCACGATAATTATAATAATTACGTTATTATTTAACAATAATTCACAAAAAATAATTTATTGTAAAATTTGATTATAAATTATCCATTGCATATCAATAAATTACAAATAAGCATCATTGCTAAATGTTATAAGATAAAACATTAAGGAATATTTTAAATAAATTATTGTAATTTAGTTGTAAATTGTCCTTATTTGTGGTTTCTGTGGTAATATTATCTCGATAATTATGGCAATTATCTTTATCATTAATTTTTAAAATAACAGCTCCAAATGTGACATTTGTAATAAATGTCAAAATAAAGCTATTTAACAGAAAATATTTAATAAAATAAATTGACTTTTATTTTAAAAGCTAAAATATAGTACTTAATAATATTCAACATACTATTAACATAATTTTTATATTTCATATTTATTTTAATTATTAAAATTAGTAAAGATAAATTCATATTTTTCTAAATTAAAAAAGCAATAATAATTTCAAATTAATTCATTTAATATTTTTAATTAGATTTTTCTTTAAATTATCAAATAAAATTGTATTTTATTAAATATTAATTGAAATTTTAATTCTTTTTAATGTCAAAAATTTTAGATAATTTTGCTAACGAAACGATATTTTTAATAATCTTTCTATACATTTAATATCTTCAAATATATCAAAAATAACTCTAAAAATAATTTAACTTTTATTTAAGTAATAAAAATGCCAGCATTAACAATTATTTTAAATTATATTTTGTAATTTTAGTTCATAGTTTCGAAAAATGTTACAAATTTTAATAAATATTTCAACTTTTAAAAACTGTTATAATGTTTTATTTCTTTTAAAATTAGTTTTGAGATTAATGAATTGCTTTATTTGTACAAAGTGAACTATTTTAAGATTTTTATTATATAATTCATGAGGTTAAATATTTCCCATTAATTCCGTTAAAGGTATGTAATAAACCGCTTTTTCATCTGCGATTCAATGCTCAATAATTCTTTCTAGAAAACTACAAATCAGCATGCGATAAATATCACGCCAAAACATCATTTCCATGCTTATCATGAAATAGAATGCTTTCTCCAAGTGACAATGAGTTTTCCTGAAGAATAAATCGTCGCCATAATCTTGATTTATCTTAAGATGGGAGCCATTAAAAGACTTGAAGGGCCACTTGACATGTGGTGAATGATTTAATGTCAATAAAAATATGATGTTAAGATTATGGAATAAGTTCCTAAGAGAAGCAATGTTATTCGAAAGTCTATCTAAGTTTTCTTCCAAAAATCATTGTAAAGATGAGATTAAAAAAAGTTAACGAGAGCGCCATATTCTTCTAATTTATAAATATTTCCTAAAGTACTCATTTTGTTAAGTAGTTACTAGATTCGATCATTTGTATGGATTTCACTTCATAATTTTTATAATTTATACATTCCGTTGAGCCTCTTGCTCTCTTTAAACTGATATCGAAGTTTTAAGTGTACATTCTCGCACAAAATCTTATCGACAATATATAATGATGATGTGTACATTATTTGATAAGTAATTAATAATTTAGACAATTAATCAATTGTTTAATGCGTGTGGCCTATATTAAATAAATCAGCCACAATTTTAACACCCATTAATAAGATATTATTGCTTATTAAGACGAGTGGATAATTAAGATAAGTTGTAAATGAATCTGCTTAATACAATACGTTTTCAATCTTAATTTCTTTTTTTCTGTAATCCATTCTACAATTTTACTTCTTAAATTTATAAAGTGGTTTTGCTAGATTTGCTACTAGGGAATTTAAAATTAAACTTGAATTTAAGGCTAAGAACTTAGATTTAATTCAAACCTTAAAGTTAATATTAAAAAATTCTGCTTTGATTATAAGAAGTTAATTCATTCAATCAGCGTGCGAAAAAAATCATTAATGAATTATAAAAAATGGCTCTTATCAATTAAATATTATTATTATTATTTTATTCTATATAGCCTACTTCAATTAACTCATTTCAGTTGTTTTAATATAAAAATTATTATATATATACGGATTTATGAGAGATCTGCAGAATTACAATCGATATTTTAAAATATCGATATAAAACTGCAGCCAGTCATAGCTTACTATATAAAAATTAAGAATTTTATTTTAAATTAAAAATATGCAAAATATAAAATATAGATCTATAAAATTTGTTAAATATTTTAAAATTTAAATATTAATTTACACCAAAGAACCGTTGACAGATTTATAAGAAGAAGAATATTTTTCGAGTCAGTTTTCTCATTTTCCAAAATTAAGTGTGATTACATTGATTAAGAAGTAGATGAAATTAAACAGTAACTTTAAATTAATTAATTTAATTAAAATGTCTATGATTGAATAAAAACATTTTTATTCAGTTCTAGGAATTTCATTCTATTTAAATTAAATAAACGTTTATTCTTTTANTATATAATAATTAGAATTAAATTAAATTAATTATTTTAAATATAATTTTATAAAAATTACATCTAAGACTGAACATGATGCCAGACATTTTTTCCTTAATTTTAATTACAAAAATGCAGACTTAAGATATAACAATGTTTATTAACAATAAGTTCTACGTAAAGTCACGTTCCCATGATAATGGTATATAAAATTTCAAATGAGTACATTAAGCAGAAAATATATCAAGTTAAACATGAATAACTACTGTTCTAAACTTACTGAGAACTTTTTTATTCTATCCAAATCTATTATTTTTTTTTCTGTTAGAACATCATTCAATTTAATATTTAGCTATAGAAATATATCTCCTGTTAGATTAGTGTCACTATCAGTTATTATTATTTTATATTTTAAGTTTTATAAATTATTTATAACAAAAATAAAATTCTACCTAATTATTTAAAAATTGTAAAACTAAGCGTTAGGTAAAGCAACAACAGGAATAATTTATTAGCAGAGCTGAGATGTTTTTCTACTTTACTAATAATACTCTGAAGATTTTATATTATAATTACAAAAATAAAATTATTTTTAAAGTTTTAATGAAGAAAAATTTATTTCGGCTTCTTTGATATTTTGTCTTTAAGACGATTAATATGTTTCGAAAAAAAATTGTTGTTGTATAGGATTAATTATGTTGTGTGTAAACATGTAAACAGAATTTCCATATTTATATAAAGCAAATTATATTTACAATATAATATTTTCATAAGTCATTTTAAATGAATGCAAAAATATAAGTATGAAATTTTGTTTGTTTTGCATTTAATTTTATTATTATATTTTGTTACTTTTTGAAACAATTTTTTTTCTAATTAGTTTTACTAATTAAATATAGGCCTAAATATTATAGAAACAAATTTTATAATATATTAAAAATATTTTATATATTATACATTATATTATATTTAAAATATTTTATCAATAAATTCTATAATTACATCACTTATAAGGTTATAATTAAGCATTTGATATTTTTGATGAATGATAAACCTGTATATTTATTTAATCAGAACGACAAAATTTAGTTTAAAAGAATATAAATATTAAATATTCATATTATCAGAGATATTATAAGATAAAATTTCTGAATTAGGGGAAAAATCATTTTTATAAGCGGATTATATTTTCATTGCAGT